AACCCCCCCCCCCCCCCAGCCACGGCTGTGGCAGCCCTCCCAGGCTCTGCCCTGGGAGCTTGGTGTCTGCCCTTCCACGGGGAGGGATCTGGGATGGGGGGCAAGACCCCCACCCCATCACCCTACTGCCCCCCACTCCCCTTTGCCTACCTCTTCAGGCCTGACTTAGACCCGCTGCCGCTTCTGCCGCTTGGGTCTGCCCCCGGTACGCGGGTTATGTCCCTTCTTCTTGTCCTTCTTGTCATTCTTTGCCTTCTTGTCCATGTTCTGCATCAGCTTCTGGACGGCGAGGTCGGTGGGAGAGGCACAGATTTTCTTATTCTTCTTGGTGGTAAAGCTGGTGGTGCAGGCAGAAAGGTTTGCTGGGCGATGGGCAGGGGGGAGGACATGGGGAGGGGGGACTTAGCTGGATCCAAACTGCTCCAGATGGTCCTGCCTGCAGCAGGGTACTCACACAACAGCACGCAGCACACATCCCGACTCAGGTCCCTGGAGGCTATAGGACTTCACCCAGTTGCTGGAGATGGCTTTCCGGCTGTGCTTCAGGCAGCAGTCCGTGGCTGAGCTGCCAATGCCTGGGGACAAGGGGGAGACATGGGATTTTGGACCCTCACCCAGCCAGGGCACTTTCCCATCCCCAGGGGAGCACGGCACAGCTGGCTGATGGCCCAGGGCTTGCTTGGTGTCATTCGTGGGAGAGGTGCTGGGGCAGCACATGAGGGTGGGAGCTCTCAACCCCAGTACTCAGTTGCAGGTCAGACCCTGCCCCAGGGATATTTCACTGCCAGCGGAGAGGAAACTGAGGCAGAGATGGGTTCCTTGCAAAGGGTTGAACCTCGTTCTCCTGCCTACGCTGTTCAACTTGGAGTTTTGCTGCCCCACCAGCCACGTGTACACACATGTGCTCCCAAGCCAAGCAAGCACTGCAAGCCGACGCCGCACACCAACCAGGCTTGCGCACACGCACACGTGCCCTACACACGACTGTGTGGCAAACCCCAGCCATGCACGCACCCAAATGCACCACAAACACCCACCGTGCACTGCCACCGCACCACCCAGCACCCTGCACAGACCCCGCCGAGCACCCATCCCCTGCCCCATCGACCCATAGGCGGGCAGGAGGGCTTCGTGCCGCTCACCTTGGGCCTGGGCGATGAGGAGGGTAGCAGCCAGCAGGAGCAGTGGCAGGAGGAGGCGCAGAGCCATGGCGGGTGCCGCGGGTGCTGAGCTTGGCAAGGCTGGGAAGCAGGATGCGCACTGCTGCCTTGTGCTGGGGCTGCTCCTATTTATCTCTGGACGCTTTGCTTTCATTTTCGGCCCCGCCTGGCAGGCAGCCCACCAGCCGTCAGAGGGCTGGGTGATGGAGAAGCGGGAGGATGGGGGATTCCTGTAAGCTGCAAGCCCCCCTTTACGGATGCGTCCTGTCTTGTTCCCAGCTGCCCATCACGGTGCGGGGTGCCAGGTGGGGGGCACACCAGAGAGTTGAGTGTTGCTGCTTGCCTGTTTACTCCCCAGACAGGGACCCTGGCGGGTGTCAAAGCCATTAGGAAAACCAAGGAGTCAATCTGGTTTGCTTCCCCACCTCGTGCTTTTCTCCTGAGCAAAACACAGGCGAGAAGGGGCTCAGGGTGACCCCATGTCTCAGCCCCCTGAGCCTCCATCTCTGTCCAGCTGCCTCGGGGGCCTCCCCAAACAGCTGAATACATCTGTAGGGCTGGGATGTGCAGGGGCTGGACTGCAAATGGGGCTGGGGGAGATAGCAGAGCCCACCGTGCGTTGGTGCTGATCCATGAGTGGGGATGAGTGGGGACCTCGAATGGCTTGGAGGCATGGGCTGACGGAAACCTCCTGAGGTTCAACACAGACAAAATGTGAAGTCCAACAGGTGGGACGGCATGATCCCATGCAGTCAGACAGGTTGGACATGGCTGGAAAGACAGGGACCATGCAGAAGTGGACCCGGAGGGCTGAATAGGAACCCTCAGGGCACCCTTGTGGTGGCAAAGGCCACCCAAAGAGATGGCCACATGGCTGGACCAAGCCCTGAGCAAGCTGGTGAAACACCGGTCATGCTCTGAGCAGGGGATGGCCACAGACCTCCACATTTTCATGTGATTGCCAGGGTATGATCTGGAAGAGACCAAGGATGGGGTTTCACAGCCGCTTTGGATAACCTGTTCCAGTGCTTGAAATGTTCTCATGTTGGAAACATTTTCCCCGCTTTTTAACTGGAATTTCCCTTGATGCATCCGGTGCTGCTGCCTCTCGCCCTCCCCAGGGCCCCTCCGAGAAGAGCTGGGCACCGGCGTCTCTCCAGCCCCCCCGGGCAGCCAGCAAGGAGCCCCTTTTGCTGTCTCATCCCCAGCTTCACCACCCCACCGCTCACAGCCCATCTTTGCCTGCCCTGGCCTTCAGCTCCTCGGCCAGCCCTGCTCCTGCTGCTTGTGTTAGCCATGTCCTGGGAGTGCCAATGGGACGCAGGGCTGTGATGGGGTCTCCCCAATGCCGGTGGGGGCCAAGCCCCTTCCTCAGCCCTGCTGCCTGAGCCCTGGGGTGCAGCCCCAGGACTTTTCACCAGTTCCTGATAAGGACCCTCATAAACAGATATCAAGGGCAATGAGCAACCCAGGGAGAAGACCAAAGTCCCAGCTGCTGTAGAAAGCAAGGCCACGATAAGATGACCAGGCTCTTGCCCCCTCAGCGGGGAGGGGGCAAGGCTGGTATCATGGTGGGGGGGCTAACCCACAACTGCCCTGCAGCCCTCTCTTGGGCAAGGAGACTGGCAAGCTGCAGCGGCTTGTTGCCCTCCTCGGGGACAAGTTGGGTGCCTGGGGCAGTGTGGGATCCAGGGCTGTGCTCCTGTGGCTTCCACCATCACCTGTGCAGAAGAGAAAGGGAGCTCTCATGCTGGGGGGTACCAGTGCCCAGATGGGGGGAGGCAGCTCCCCATGCACTCATGTGGCACCGAGGTCGATGTCTCAGGCAGCAGCCCCTGGGGCATGCAGCAGGCACGGGCCATGGGCAGCAGTGGGTTGCCTGTGGGTGCATCTCCCCAGGGTGCCTGGCAGCACAGGGAACTGGATTCTGGAGGCATCCTATGTGCTGTCACCCATCCCTCCAACCCCAAAGCACCGGTGGCATCAGAACAAGGCAGGAAATGGAGAGCCGCACTGGCTCTTACCGCCTTTCCAGCCTCTATTTCTGCAACCTTTCCAGGCAGCAGTGCCCAACTGAGCACCTGGATGAACCCTTGCCCTTGGCACATCTGGGACACTGTCCCACCCCAGATCCATGTGCTGGAGAAGCTGGGGAAGCACTGATCCTGTAGCCATCCACCCTGGTGAAGTGTCTCCCAGAGCCTATGTGGTATGAGGACAAGGGATGTGGAAGGAGAGGAGACCTGTCACAGGTTGCCCCCAGCATGGACTGGTCCAGCCCAGGGCTCTCTCCACTCCTGAAGGAGCCCAGGAGAGCTCTGCAGTCCCAGCGCAGAGCCCAGCTCCATCCCTTGCCCAGTCTCAGCCCCAGCCGCAGCAGCAGGCGCCTGGAAAGTCCCTGGCTCTCTGCATGTTTTCGAGACACTGCAGCAGCATCCTCCGGCCAGAGGCCAGCCCCAAATACGGTCTGAGCTGCTGAAGAGGGTCAGGGCATGTGTTCACTTCACAGGCATCAATCTTTGGCAAGTCTCTGGTTGCTGCAGTTTGCACCCTGAAGAACGCAACCGACTGAGCAGACCCTCACTCCAGTACCTCCAGGGAAGGTGGACTGGAGAAGACCCAAGAGTGAATAAACTAAGGGTAGGGGTACTTGGTCATTGCTCTGGCTGAGCAATGCAGACGCACCTGCATGCCTGATCAGCAGGACCTCATGGAAACTGGCATGGAGGTCCCTGTCCCACCTCCCCTCCTGCCTCCCTTCCCTCAGAGCCCCCAGTTCAATCCTTCCTCCCCAAGTCCCTTGCTCTATCACCTGTCCCCCCAGCCCAGGGAGAAAGCAGGGAGCTTCTGGCAATGAGAGAGGCAATGAGCATCCCTGTCTGCAGGGGGGTCGCAAGGCAGACGAAACTTTCAGGATACAGAGGAGCTGCTGGGGGCGGGGGGTGGAGGCAAGGCTTTTTGGGGCTCTCCAACACCAGCAGCCTCCAGCAGCCTCTCAGCCAGGTACAATTTCTTGCAGGCACCCACATAAACCCATTTCTCACCAGCTTGGGCTCCTGCAGCCTCCAGTCTTTTCCCAGAGCTCAGAGGTGCAGGATGGAGACAGAGAGAGGGAGGGGGGCATAACTAGGCAGGGTGCCCCTCCGCAGTGTCTCAGCTACAGGGAACCCCTTCCTGGCCCCAGGGTCTGTGTCAGACACTGTACAGAGGCTTTGCAACAGGGCTTTGTGCAGTGGTGCCTCCAGCTACCCCCACACTCGGGCAGCCCAGCTCCAGCCCTCTGTGCATCCCTGTGGTGGAGGGACCTCCAGACTGCAAGAAGAGGGGAGGGTGTCCTAGGCAGAGACTACGGCGTCCCTGCACACCGAGTGTGCAAATACAGTGGGACCATAACAAAAGTCACCAAATCGCCTTGCTTGTGAGCCTTTCCCAGGCAGCAAAACCACTGTGGGAGCTTGTAGGGACTCACTCAAGCCTCCATCCCAAATGCTTCCCATGTTTGTACCTCACATCCCAACAAGTTCTCAGGTTTGCCCACAAATTACTTCCCTGGCTTCCAGCATGGCAGTTGCCTGGCATCTCACCCCGTAATACCAGAAGATCCTCTCTCCTGACCCCACAGCCCTCTTCTCATCCAGCTCTGGGCTGCCCTTCAGCCCTGCAAAAGCCCTCAGCTCTTCCCTGCTTAACCAGACGTGTGGTCTGCTCCCTGGGGGGCTCAGGGCTGGGAGCAGAAGCTCCTTGGGCGCATGCATGGACCAAAGGCATCGAGGGGAGCCAACCAAGGGGACTGGGAATTTCCAAATCCTTCTGGACACTGCCTCCAAGTTAAAGTCACTGCTAACAGGAACAGGGTCGCACAGCTCTGCTCAACCCGCTGACCAGCAAATTCCTTCCTGCAGAGGCCCCGATTCCCAAGACCCAGTGCAGAGGTAGTTTGCAAAGCCCAGCGTGGAAAACCCCCATGACTGAGAAGGGGAGCGGGCTGCCTGCCAGGCACACCGTATAGAAACGCCGTATAGTGAAAAGGTCCTCGGGAAGTGGGAAAGAATTGCTGGAAGCCAGCAGCACACGAGCCAGGCAGGCTCCCTGCTGGCTGCTGCTCTGCCCCCCCCAGGCGTCTCGTAGA